TCGGGAGGGCACCTCCCCCGATCCATGGATGTGGCGACCGCGCGCCAAATCCATGGATCGCTAATCCATGTTTGCGCGCCCCTGAGTAAACAAGAAGTTAGGACGGATGTTTTTCGCCGTGCCGTTTTCGGCCTCTCGAGGCCCTCGACGGGCCCCGGGGCCGTCAAGAAAAACGACTCGGGATGAGGCTCGGGACTCCCGGGGACCGCGCAATGAAAAAATCAAGACGTCGCATGTCTGGTGACGGGTCCTGAGACGTTTGAGACATCCTCCAAGCCCGCCGATTCTCAAGGATTTCCGATTGATGGCGGTCCGATTTTGTCTCGAGTTTGCTCTCGCCTCAGAGGGCGATAAACGACCCCACCACGGCGACGGACGAACGAACGCGGCAACGCGAGCGACGACGCCGGCGACGACGGCCGTGGCGGCGGCGGCCGCAACGCTCGGGTGGGCAGCCGCGCCAAGGGACGGGCGCAGGGGGGGGGGCAGGGGCAGGGGCGAGAAGGGCGCTGCTGGCCGAGCCGGTCCACGGGCAACCTGGGCCCATGGAGGCCTTCGGCGGCCAGATCCGCCGGGTCGTCGCCCCGGGCGCCAAGGTCGGCCCGTGCAGGGGGGGTCGCGGTCTCCGGCCTGCCGGCCCCCTCTGGCGGTGAAGGCGCCCCCTTGGCAAGTGGGGCGAGCAGGGGTCGCCACGAAGCAGGCGGGCGGGGGATCGGTCGGGCGTCACGAAGTGGAGGGTTCGGGCGAGGGTGCCCTGGGCCCAAGGTGCCCCAGCTTTTCGCTCCACTTGAGAGTTCCTGGGGCCCTCGGGGCGTCGTGGAGGGTGTTCTGGAGGCCGTGGGGGCCTCCTCGGAGAGCCCTGGGGGGCACCTTGGGTTATGATGCTCCAACCTACTTTGGCCTTGATAACCAGAAGTACTTTCGAGCACAGGGAAAGTAACGAAACTGGGGGGTACGTGTCGGGTCCTGGGAGGCGATACTCGCTCGACGCTCTCATGCGTGGTCCCTACAAGCACGATGGGAACACTATAAATCATCGAGCGCGTTACACTACTCGCAAAGTGCCTACTCGCAAACGTCCGAAAAAAACACATGCCTGCTTCGATGTAATGTATCGTGGATCCCCCGCGGCGGATCCAGGCCATTTGCGAGTAGTTACTTTGCGAGTAGTGCAACGCGCTCGTCTAATGAACCTTGGGCCAGGGATCCCGGGATGCGCGCCCCGACGGCGGAGAGGCCTGCCGCCAGCGTGGCGCCTCGGGCGCTCCGGTTGGGCGCGTCTCGGAGGGGGCGGCGGGCCGCTGTGGGCGGGCGGACGGGGCGCTCCACGATGGAGGCGGCGATGGGCTTAAGTCGGGCCTGTCCCTCTACAGGACGAATACTCAAAGATTAGTCAAAACATGATCGGGGGCCGATTTTGTGGGCACTGTTTCGCCAGTGCGGGGCAGGTCTTGACTACGCTGTGCCTGTCGTCCAAAATCCCCCTGTAGGAGGACAGGTCCGACTTCACGATACAGTGCCGTTTTGAGTACATGCTCCGCGTGCGGATCACGTATAAAAAACCCAGGGATTTAGTGTGAAAAACAACGAGGAGTTCGTGTGTAAATTCATGCACCATTTGATCATGCATTAAAGATCCTATATTCTTGAATCTCATGTATTCAGAGCTCCGAATCATCCGGGGTAACTCGGGTCAGGGCTAACTCGGGCTCGCTTTTCGGGAATCCAAACCCGAGTTACCCCTGACCCGAGTTACCCCGGATATTTCGGGCGTCCAGAGCCCCGAATCATCAGGGGTAACTCGGGTCAGGGCTAACTCGGGTTCGTTCTTCGGGAACCCAAACCCGAGTTACCCCGGACCCGAGTTACCCCGGATAACTCGGGCGCCCAGTGTATTAAAAGCTGCCCTGTAGGCACTTCAGAGCGTCGGCCCGGCTTTGCGCCTCGGGGCCTGTCCGTGGGCTGCCGCTGGGCGGCCGCGGGCCGTGGCCTCGGCGCTTCTGCGGTGGTCGGCAGGCCGCGGCGCCGCTCCCTGGGGGCCACTGGGCCTCGGGCGTGGTTCACTCAGCAGGGAAAAAAACACACAGACACAATTAATCGTCGATCCCCCAGAAAATATAGGAAAATATGGGAAGTGGTGGGGAAGACAAAAACCCAGAAAAGATAGGAAAATATGGGTCATCTTTTTATTTGTGTGTATTTATTTGTGTGTCCTGGGGCCCCTTCATTCACTACCCACCAAACCACCCCAACCCAACCCGAAGGCCTCAATTTGCCCTCCATTTCCAGTGGGGGGGGGGTCGGGGAACACTGAAAAACACACATGGAACCCGTACCCCACACCCACCTCTGGATCCTCGACTCTACGATAGGCCCTCGGGGGTGGAAGACGGTAGTTTTTCCATCCCCTGGGGCGGGGAAGCTGCCCACCTCCACCTCTGGAAACCGCTCTTCGCAAGGCACCTCGGAAAGTGGGTGTGGTCAGAAATCGGTCTCCTAACCAAACCACCCCAACCCAACCCGAACCTAACCAAACCACCCCAACCCAACCCGAAGGCCTCAATTTGCCCTCCATTTCCAGTGGGGGGGGGGGGTCGAGGAACATTGAAAAAACACGTGTGGAACCCGTACCCCCCCCCCCCCAACCCGAAATTCGAGTCTTCGGATCGGGTTGGGGTTGTCTGATAGGTAGTCAGTGTTGCAAGGGGGGGCGAGGATTATGATGTTCAAACCTACTTTTATGTCGGGCGTGTCCCCCTACAGGGGGATTTTCCACGAAACGAAAAATAAAAAATACCCCCCACAATACCTCCCAAAAGTGAACAGATACTCAAAAATATAGTCCCCAGACTATTTTTGGAGTACTTTTTGATTGTTTTTGGAGTATCTTCAATGCAAGGGGGGGCGAGGATCATGATGTTCCAACCTACTTTAGCCTTGAGCACCAGGAAGAATTTCGAGCACTAAGAGAGTACCAAAGCTCGAGGGTCTTCACGTGGGCCTTGGGACACACTCGTTCGGCACTGTGTCGACACTGTTTCGAAACTGTCTCGACACTTTTCCGGCTGTTCGAAGTTGTTTCTGGGATGTGGTCTTTCAGTACGATGGGAGCAACATAAGGCGAGCAATGCCAGCGTTGAATCGGGCGTGTCCCTCTGCAGGGGGAATATCCAAAAAGTACTCAACAAGTAGTCTGGGGATGACTGTGTGACCATTTTTGAATATTTTGGGGGCTTCTTTTGGGGTTTGTAAGTTTTCGTCCACAAGCCCCCTGTAGGGGGACAGGCCCGACCTGATGCCGGCGCGTTTGTTTCGGGCCAGTTTTTCTTGGGATTCGGGCAAGATTACTTGCATGGACGGGGGAGGGGGGGGCTGAGTCTCAAGCAAGCCGAAAACGACGTGCGGAAATCACGCAAGTCGAAAGGCACTTGCACGCTCAAGTTCGATTGAAGAGGGGCGAGGTGGGTGGGGGGGGGGGGGCGAACGCCATGCAAGTAAGCTTGCCTGGATACAAAGAAAAACAGGCTCTTTGTGCATCTCTTCCGTGCCGGCGCTCCGGCGCTCCCTGCGCCGCGCCTTCCCGGCGCCGCGCGCGCAGAGCCGAGCCGAGCCAGGGGGCGCTTCTTTCGGGAGGCACGGAGGTGCACCTCTCAAGCCCTACCATCAGGGGGGAGGAGGAGGAGGAGGAGGAGGAGGAGGAGGAGGAGGAGGAGGAGTAGGAGGAGGAGGAGGAGGGAGGAGGAGGAGGAGGAGGAGGAGGAGGAGGCAGAGGAGGAGGAGGAAGAGGAGGAGGAGGAGGAGGAGGAGGAGGCAGAGGAGGAGGAGGAGGATCTCGTCGCCCCACACGTTCGGAACCCCACGAGCACGACGAGCAGCAGGCATCGCACTCGGACCTCCCAGCGGGGAGAGGCAGGAGGCACGACACGGGGTCCCAAATCGGAGGTAGGTAGGCCTCCTGCCCTGACACGTCGATCAGTGCATTGGCCGTTTCCGGTTCGCGAGAGGGCCGTCGTTTCTGCGGGTCCAGGTCCGTCGGTCTCGGTCCTGGGCCGGTTTCACTGAAGGGGCACCTCTCGAGCCCTACGGGGTCCCAAATCGGAGGTAGATAGACCCCCCTGCCCTGACGCGTAGATGAGTGCATTGGCCGTTTTCGGTTCGCGAGGGGGCCGTCGTTTTCTGCGGGTCCAGGTCCGTCGGTCTCGGTCCTGGGCCGTTTCCACTGAAGGGTGGTCCACTGAAGTTAGGTCGGGCCTGTACCTCTACAGGGGTATTGTTTGTGTCTTTGTTCGTCTATTTTTATTTTTTCTCGTCCACCCCCTTGTAGGGGGACAGGCCCCACCCAACACTAAAGGACCGCCGACTAAGAGGGCTCTCCACGGAAGTAGCACGTTTCTTCGCACCCTCATCGATCGCCCAGCCCAGGAAGCAGGGAGCGAGGTATGCCAGGAAGGAAACGGGTCCTCCGGGGAAGCCGGGTCTCTCGTTTTCTGCTTACCTTGTGCCTGTGGGCCTCCTGGGCCCTCCACTGGCCCAGGGGCTGCCCGTCACGGGCGTCCCAGTTGACAGATCCTCTGCCTTGCCCCCGTTTCGGTTCCGTGGGGTCGACGCAGAAGGCGGCTTTCCCTTGCGGTTTCCATGTCGTTTGGTCCCCCGCGCCACGGCGGGAGCTCACCGAACCCGGAGTGTGTTGCTCGAGAGAGGGGTGCGCCCGAAGTGTTTGCTGGTCGGTGCCTTCCGGGTCCGGGTCCTCGGTCGGTGCTGTCAAATATTGTTTTCGTGAACATTTGGCATCCTTCGGTACTGTTTAGTTAATCGCTTCGCTCATTCCGCCGGCCCTGGAACCTCTCTATAGGGCCTCTGGGAGGCCTCTTGGGGACCTCTTGGGAGTCTCTTGGGTCTCCTTGGCGGCGTCTTGGGGGCGCCCAGGGCCTCTTGGGGGGCTTTTGGGCAAGAGCGACGTGGACATGCAGTTCGTGGACGCGGAGCAGGCCGCCGTGAAGGTGGCCAAGGTCGACGTCGGCGCAGAGCAGGAGGGTAAGCTCATGATCGACGGGGGCTGCTCTGGAGCCAACCTGGCCGAGGGCACGGGCGAGGCCGGTGGGCCGGCGTACGCCGACTGCGACTCGGAGGCCGGCTTGGAGGGCGGCGTCGAGGAGATGAGCGACGAGAAGGAAGCGAGCGTGGCCATGCAGCGCGGGTGGTGGGCCGCCAGGGCCAGAATTTCTCGGGCTTGGCTGGGCACGAAGGCCTCGGAGAGCAATATGATGGCGGAGCTCGAGGCGCAGGGCGTCGAGGGCTTCGCGGCGTCCGAAGGCAAGGGCATCGACACGCAGGAGCTGCGGTGCTTGCTGACGGGCAAGGTACTGCAGGGTCCGAGGTGGGCTCCGCGGGGGCTGCCGCCCGACCCTGGAGAGGGCCGCCTGTTCGGAGATCCTGAGCCGAAAGCTAGGAGGCGCCGAGCGGGCAAGAGCAAGATGGCGGAGCCTTGAGGCCAGACCGCGCCGCGGCGTGCCTCGTGGTTTCGTGTGGCTCGGAGCGGGCTGGCCGCCGCAGGCGCCGAAGTGCGCCCAACGGGCCTTGCGGCGGAATCCGCTGGAGGTCTGAGGGGGGGGGGAAATCTCTTGTGGCGGGAAGGGGGGGTAGTCGATTGCGGCTCCCTCCTCGGAGGCCATGATCCTCGTGAGGGGTGTCGAAAAATGGCCCTCCCCTGGAGTGCTCTGGGGGCTTCTCCAGGGAATGGCCGGGCGCCCCCATGGGCCGCTCCGCGCGCGCGAGCTAGAAATATTGTTAACCACTTACTGGGGATCTTAGCACGCCTCTGGCCCGTTGGGCCGGCGAATCTTGTTCCCGGCAAGGACCATCGAGGAGCATGTTGGGTCATATCGCGAGAAACTCACGCGCGAAACCTAAACGTGCACGGGGAATGGACGTCCGAGCGATGGCGACGCCTGCGCCTCCCTAGAAATCTGGAGCCTCCATTCTCGAGCCCTGCACCTTGAGCCTCGAATCGGCCCAGAGCCGATCGGGCCCCGACCCACGACCGATCTGGCCTGGTGGGGGACGCATCCCGCGCCTCCTTCCAACATGAACCCGCATATCACAACGACGTTGTGTGTCCACGCGGCGTTGTTTCTTCAGTCCGGCCTCCAGGACCCGTTTTCGGGCCCAGGGCCCATCACATATTGATTCGTGACAGGATAGCAACACCAAGGGAAGAAGCCCGAAGCTTTAGGGCCGTTCATTGGAAAAGACATCGTCGGATGTCTTGTTTGGATTCAATCGAGGATCGAGGAGAGAGAGTTGCAGGTTTGCATGTCTTTGGTATTTCTTGGATTTGTAGGTGGCTCCTCGTCGTCACAGTTGGATTCCCATATAAATCTCAATGAATTCGCACTCTTGGGGAGGTCTGGGGGTCGATGGTTGCAGGCAGGAAGGTCTAAAAGGTTTGGCATCAGGGAAAGGGATACTGCGGAAATTTGGTTCTGATATGTTCTGTTCAAGGGTGTCCCGGGGCCCTTCCCGGCGCCGGGGGTCTGTGTTTTTCAATGCGGTTTCCGACTCTCTGCTCACTATCTGGAGATTGCCATGCACTTGAGCAGGACTGTCGCCTCTAAGGCCTGGCTTCTGGCCGGCCTGCTTGTCCTGGAACGAAGATGTGGCTTGGATGGTGAACTCAAGTTTCAGCTTGTTGGAAACTCCGCTGCTGGGGCTGGCGCTCAGTAGCCCAGCGCCGCTGGCCCCAGCACAAACCCCGAGTCTGAGGACGAGCAGGAGCTCTCATTGCCCAGTTTTTCGGGCCAGCAGTTTTTGCCACCAATCGCTTGTGTTGGACCATGCCATCGGCCATCGCTGTGGCCTGCCAGGAGTTCCCGTTGAGACTAGCCCCGCCGAGCCTCACTGGCCCCTGACTGCCACCGATGCTGCCCGTGCGCAACCCCGAGACCCATTGGGGGTCTGAGACCAGCTGGCGACCGTTCGGACAGTGTGGAGGGGTACTGTCATTCAGAGGAGGGAAAGGTACGATCCGATACTGCTACCCCTGTCTCGTTTTCGCTTTTTTGGGTCTCATGGGAGGCCCTCGTCGCCACGGCTGGGTTCGCCTTTCAGTCCGCTCAGGAAGCACCCTTGGCGAGGTCTCATTCAGGCCCTCATGTTGACGCGCGCGCCTCTTCCTCTGCTTGGCACGCGCAGCCGCTTCAACTGCAGCGCGCCTCTCTCGGGAGCGCTTTGGCGGCTCACGGTCTCCCTCTGCTCGCGCGCCGTACGGGCGCAGGTCGCGTGAGTTGGGCTGGGGGCCTCGGTGCCCAGAGCCACCCCCCCACTTCGGGGGCAGTCACGGCCAGCCTCGGAGAGGAGCCTCTGTAGCGGGGAGCTCCTCCTCCTCTTCTTCCTCCTCCTCCTCCTCCTCCTCTTCCTCCTCCTCCTTTTCTTCCTCCTCTTCCTCCTCCTCCTCCTCCTCCTCATCCTCATCCTCCTCCTCCTCCTCCTCCTCCTCCTTCTCCTCCTCGAAGAGCGGGTCCTGGAGTTTTTACTGGCCCTCGGGGAAAGCCCTGGGGGTCCAGGGCCCGCTCCGCTCTGGACCCGTGGCCTTCTTGCCGAGCCTGCGGCCCTGGGTCCCGGGCGCGCTCTGTACGTGCCTTCGATTTCGCGAATTCCAGTCGCTTGGCATCGCTCGGACGCGTGCATTCTTCTTTCGCTGAGGGCCCTCGAGGAGCATCCCTGATCATTTGGCGAAGAAAAGCCACACACGAGACCGAAAAAAACACAGGGAATGGACGTCCGAGCGATGGCCAGGTCGGGCGTTGCCCGTGGAGGCTCCCGCGACCTCCAGAGCTCCAGAGAGAGCTCCCCGCGAGGACCAGAGGGCCCCCAGGGGCTCCACAACGGAGAGACAAGCTCTGGTCAGCCACGCGCAGAGGGGGGGTGGGGGGGAGGGGGGAGGGCTTCTTAGAAGCACCCCTGCTTCTTAGAAGGCGCGGGCCTCATCTGTAGATGTAAGGCCGGCGCCTTCTAAGAAGCAGCCTGCTTCTAGGAAGCTCTTCCCCCTCCCCCCACCCCCTTGTGCGCGCCGCCAGTCTGGACGCCTTTGCCCAGGGACGCCGTTGGCAGCCCACGAGCTGGGTTCCTGGCGGCCACGTGCGCCGTCCTCGTGGCGGCTTCCGACCGCATTGCACTCGGCAGCCTCCCGAGGTGGTCGACTCCGCCGTGGCCTCCGCCCCCGCGACCTGGGTCGCGGCAGCCGGCCCCGCGGCGAGGCCAGCGGCCCGGCCGCCGCGGCCGCGAGAGGTGAGAGGTGCGAGGGCAGGGTGCTCGGCCACCGCGCGCAGGAGCGGCCGCTTGGCATCGTTCGGACGTGTGCGTGTTTCCTTCGGCGAGGACCATCGAGGAGCATCCTTGATCATTTTGCGAAGAAATCGCGCACGAAACCGAACACAAACACAGGGAATGGACGTCCGAACGACGGCCAGGCCGGTCGCCGGGGCCACCTTCGAGAGTTTCGGAGCACTTTTTGGGGCGTTCCCGTCGGTTCCAGGAGGTGTTGCTGCCAAGGGTTCGACCTAAGCTGTGTGTTGGCGGTTTCGTGCACCGTCTCGTGTCGCAGTAAAGGCGCAGCGAAGACGAAGAGACGAGTGCGGCAACAAGTAAACGAAACAACAACGGAGCACGCCGCTCAGATCGAGCCCAGTTCTTGCCTCGGGATGCGTTCCAGCATTACCAGCCTGGAACATATCCCTACCCCTATGCTTGACATCACCTCACCTCGATGCCGATCCCAAGGATTCCCTCAGCTTGTGGGGGCCTGTCCCTGAGATTGTCCTCGCGTTTTGCTCGCCCATCTTAGGGATAGGGGTACCTTCGAGGCTTCTTACAGCAGCTGCGCCCTGCTCCTGGATCGTCGCGAAGGGCCGCCAGAGGCCCGAGATCGGCGACCCGCACACCGCCTGGCCCCTCGCCGCCGTCGCTGCGCGGCGCTCGGGGGCGCCGGGCTCCGGACCCCCGCGCGCGGGCCGCCGCTGGTCGCACGGCACGCCGCGGTCGGCAAGCCGCGCACGACGGTCCAACCGTTCGCAGGGTCGTTCTGGAGTGTGGCCGAAAGTCGGGCCCGAGAGTCTCGGGTCGGGCGAAAGGGGGGGATTGGGAAAGGGGGGGTTACGAAATTTGCTGCATGCAGCTGGTTTCGGCCTCACCGAGGGGCCAATTCCTCGATACATGGCCGCTCCCGGCGCCGGGAGGCGCCGGGAAAATCAGCTACGTGAGCTGATTCTCAAACCCCCCCTTTGCTATCCCCCCCTTTCGCCCGACCCGAGAGTCGGGGCGGGCCAGTGGCAGGACCTGGCCACTCGGGTGGTCTTCGCGGCCACGCGCAGAGGGGGGTGGGGGGGAGGGGGCAGGGCTTCTTAGAAGCACCCCTGCTTCTTAGAAGGCGCGGGCCTCATCTGTAGATGTAAGGCCGGCGCCTTCTAAGAAGCAGCCTCCTTCTAAGAAGCCCTCCCCCCTCCCCCCACCCCCTTGTGCGCGCCGCCAGTCTTCACCGAGCGCGTTCCACTGCTCGCACAGTGCCTTACTCGCAGGCGTCCGAAGAAACTCGGGCCGGACGAAAGGGGGGATTGGAAAAGGGGCGGTAACGAAATCTGCTTCAGGCAGCTGGTTTCGGCCCCACCGAGGGGCCCATTCTAAAACGACGCGAAGATCGGGACAAAATCGGATCGGGATAACTCGAAATCTCTGAGAATCGGCGGGTTTGGAGGATGTATTGGGCGCCGCGGCCGCTCCAGAGCGTTCCGGAACGCTCTGAGAGCGTTCCGGAACGCTCTGGAGCGATTTATCCCGATCCTAGCCCTGTTTTACATTCCTCGATACAGGGCCGCCTCCGGCGCCCGGAGGCGCCGGGGAAATCAGCTACGTGAGCTGCTTCTCAAACCCCTCTTTTCGGGGGAGCGTAAGACATGGGTTTGCCAGGACTCGGGTTCGCCATCGTTTTTTGACGACCGCGCCTCGGTCTCGGCCGAGGAGGAGTTTCGTGGGATGTCTGCAGCGGGAGGCCTCGTCAAAATGCAGGCTCGGCCTCGTCATTTTTTTGACGACCTCGTCGGGGATTTCCGAGTCCCCTGTACCCAGGTCTTACGTCCCCCTGACCTTTGCTGATTATCCCCCCCCTTTGGGTGGGGGGCCCTGCGCTCCCCGGGCGGGTCCCTGCTCGTCGCGTGATAGCTACTCCCGAGCCAGGCCTCCGGGTCGAGGAGGAGGAGGATGAGGAGGAGGAGGAGGAGGAGGAGGAGGAGGAGTGGGGAAGGAGGGGGAGGAGGAGGAGGAGGAGGAGGAGGAGGAGGAGGAGGAGGAGCAGGAGGAGGAGGAGGAGGAGGAGGAGGAGGAGGAGAGGAGGAGGAGGTCGCGCCGCGAGGAGCGCGGCGGCCACAGAGATGGGGGCACGGCTGTGGTCAAGGTGCGGCATGCTCCCCGCCCCCCGCCCCCCCCCTTTCTGCGATGC